TATATATAAAAGGCAATACTATTGGTGTCTATTACTACTTTTATTTTTCAACTTTTTAATAATTATTACAAAATTAAAAAAATTAAAAAAAGGCAACACTATTATTACTTCTGCCTCTATTGTTTAGGAGAAGCTAATTTGTGTAAACTTTTGCCAATCCCTTAATTTTTAATAGATAGACAATAATAATTAATACCTTCTAGTAGTATTTTCCGGTAGACAGAATTTTAATTCAAGGAAATAGTATTATTGTCTTTTCTCCCTTCTTACTTAAAAGTTTTTCTTAATTATTTTACCTCGCATCGTCCTTTGCTTTGTTGGAGAAGCATTAGTAATTTTCATGATTCAATGAAACAAAACAAAAAAAAACACCATTTATATGAGACAATCAACTTTCCACATTTATGATGGCAATATTAGTATCGATCTTTGGCCCTTATAAGATTGGTTGAGCCTGTCTTTTCAATCGATCTTCAGTTGCTTAATATTGTTATTGAAAGGTAATTTTAACAATTCAAGACCACTTTCGATTATATGATCGGTCACTTTTATTGTCACTCATTCGATTTTAAGATTTATTAATTACTTATATTTTATCAAAAATTTAGCTAAGAAATTCTCCAAATTATATACTAGTATAATATAAAAGGACCTTCTAATTTTCCAAAAAGTGTTACGAGTGTCAGACTTACAAATTCCAATTATTTTTATTTTATTTTTTAAAAAATCATAAAATAATAAATATACCTAATCACATCACCCTCAACCGATATAAAAGGAGTAGCCAAAGAAAAGGGAAATTAAATACGCAGACGAAGGTAGTTCACATAGAGAAAAGTTTGACGGCTTAACATTAAAAAAACAAGGTGAGACAGCATAGTAGGTTGTGGAAAACTTCATATGCACTTGTCTATCTGTTTTTCACATGAATCTTGATCCAATCAAACTACTCTTCACATGAATTTAAGTTCTCTACACACTGGTGACACAAAAAAATGTTTACATAATTAACTTATTTATAAGCTAATTGAAGATAATTCTATGATAGCTAGCTCCAATTAGTAACTTGTCATAAATAGCAAGTAATATGCACTTATTAATGTAAGATCAAGAAAAAAGGTGAAGATGTCACATTACCATGATTTACTAGCAAGTACATTGATATATTTAATATGTTTTAAGTATAATAATTGTGTAAAAAATCATTAATGAATTAAGTTTTGTACTTATTTCTATTAATGTTCAATTTCACCTCATAAGGTGTTTCAGATGACCAAAAGCAAAAAGGTTGACCTATTCGTTATTGGTTCAGTTTGTTTTTGGTAGAAAGGTTGGTTAGCACCAGAAATTGGAATGGTTGATAGAGTTAGTGCCTCATTTTTCTCTTCTTTTTACCTTCCATATGGATCATGAACGTAAAGAAAAAATTGGTAGGATAGATAAAAATCTCTCAAAGATTTCGAGTTTGAGCCGACTTTTTTTTTTGTCGGGGATCATTTTCCCTTTTAATGAAGGTAAATTTGAATTAGTAGGGAGTTCAAAGCACACCGAATGAGAAAAAAATATGAATATATGAATTTTTATCAAATTAAGTTTTTTGTTTGATTCACGCCAAAGCTAACTTAAAGGAGTCCAGGATTGTTGTCCCGATCCGATGTAGATCATTCTCATCAATGCCCCTACATACTCGAATCCAAATATTATTTATCCGAGTTTCATTATCAGATAGGGAGAATGACATTCAAGGATAGTATATTCACAACCCCACACGATCCATGGCCTCACATCAATCAGACACAATGAACTTGACTCTGATATCATATCAAATTAGGTCTTGACCTAATTCACATCCTAAAATCTAGCTCAAAGAAATAAGGTTTTTTGAACCTTACATGAGGCTAGAGTTCTCGTTCCAATCCATGTGGAGCATTCTCATCAATAGTTTTACTTAACACTTTAAATTATTACTCTATCTGCCCCAATTTATGCAATATCCTCTCTTTTACAATCTAAAAAAAAATCACATTTCCTCAATTGATAAATATTTTACGGCACAATCTTCGTTTTACCCTTACGAAATCCTACTTAACATTTTATTGCAAAGAAAAATCAACTAAAAGTAAAAACTAAAATGATTTCATAAGAACAATTTGATAAACATAATAAAAATGTCCTTTATTTCTTAGATTTTATGGCCCATCAAAAGATAATACATAAATTAAGACAGAAAAAAGTAATTAACACAAAAGATCACAAACCACTTGTTAATAAAAAAGAGAAAGACTAGGAGATGGTAAAAACTGAAAAAAGTCAGTGTACTGTAGAAGAGTCTAAAATAAGCTCAAAATTTGCCTATAAAACAGGGCCCCCTTCTCCCACTCTCAGTTACTCACTCAACAAATTACAAATACATATTCTCTCTCCTTCTACATAATGAAGCAATCTTCTTCTATCTTAACATAGGGGGAAAAAAAAAGATAAGAGGAGTATTGCTCTTTGGCTGAAACAGATATCTATTTTGTTTCTGTTTTGAGCTAAAGAAAGTAAAAAAATGACAGAGGTTTCTACAAATGCTCTGTTTCCAGAGACATTTCAGGGGACAGCAGCAGATATAGCAGGGCAAATTGGGTTAATGTGGGAATTGATTAAAGCTCCATTAATTGTTCCATTATTAAGGGCTGCTGTGTACATTTGTTTAGCTATGGAACTCATGCTTTTCATTGAAAGGCTTTATATGGGTATAGTCATTGTTCTTGTTAAACTCTTCATGAAAAAACCAGATAAAAGGTATAAATGGGAACCAATGAGAGATGATTTGGAGATTGGGAATGAAGGTTTTCCTATGGTTCTTGTTCAAATCCCTATGTTCAACGAAAAAGAGGTCTAAATTTCTCTTGTTCTGTTATATGTTTTTGAGTTGTAGAAACAGAGTGTTCTAATATTTGAGTTATGGTGTTTCGAGACAGGTTTACAAGATCTCCATTGGAGCTGCATGTAATCTTTCATGGCCATCTGATAGACTTATCATTCAAGTTCTTGATGATTCTACTGATCATCTCATTAAGGTATCTCATTAAGCATATATATTATCAGAGTCGTGGTGGGATGGATATGATCACTCTATTTTTAGTTAGAATAAATTATGATAGGAAGCGCTTGAGACGAAAAATTGAATTAGTCAGACTTCAAAGCGAATACTTAATCCCTAGCGGAAAACAAGCAAACGTTTTATTAATTAAAATTCTCTGTTTCTTTCTTTTCATACATATATTCTAAGCTCCATAATATTCGGTCATTTTTATTAATTATAATTTAATTAAGAATGTCCAGCTTTTACTACACACATTTCATTTTTCACCCACCACAACCAACATATTTCCTCCAAATTCTTCATGTAGTATACACTCAATAAATGAGTATGGGTTCCCTTCCTTCGTTATCTTTTTTATTATTATTTTATCTTTATAATTTATGAATAAATAATTGATGACTTATTTATTAATGTTAAAGGATTTGGTAGAGAAAGAATGCTTAAGGTGGGCAAACAAAGGGATTAACATTAGGTACCAAATTAGAGAGAACAGAGGAGGTTACAAAGCTGGAGCTCTTAAAGAAGGATTAAAACGTGATTATGTTAAAGATTGCGAATACGTCGTCATTTTCGACGCTGATTTCCGGCCTGAACCGGATTTTCTCCGGCGAGCTATCCCTTTTCTTGTACATAACTCGGAAATTGCACTCGTTCAAGGTCGTTGGCGTTTTGGTAAGCTCAAATTTTAATCATCATTAAGCTAATCATTTACTCAATTAGTTGAATTAATTAAATTACATTATGTTCCTAAACCAAAGTGTCGGTGCTCTTTACTCCACATACTGTTTGTGTTTACTTACTAATTACTTTTACTGTACGTTTATGCTTACGCATATTCGTGCCCCGTTGGGGAAACTTTTTTTCTCAATTTCTTTTCTGGAAGTGACATTAGGATTATTTAAAGAAGATTGGTTAATTATTTTTGTGTGGGCCCAAGAAGAATCCATCAGTCACAGTGGTGGGAACAATAATTAAGAATTGGTTAATTTATTTATTTTCAATTCAACTCTCATTAATTTTGTTAAACTCATGGGCATAGTGTAGGTGTTTAATTGGACATCCTTTGTTGAAAAATTATACTTTTTCTGTCTCAATTTATGTGATTAACTTTCTTTTTTAGTCAGTCTAAAAAAGAATGACATATTTCTATATTAAGTAACAATTTAATTATAAAATATTTATTTTATCCTTAATGAAATGATTTACAGTTACACAAATTTCTATCGTTTATTTAAAACCACAAATTTTAAAAGTCTTGCTTTTTTTCTTAAATTTCGTGCCGAGTCAAACTACCTCACATAAAATGAGATGGAGTGAGTATTGTATATATAAGTAAAATGATAAATAAAATAGTTAAATAACATATTTTGAATAGCCTTGACATAATAATATAATAAAGCCTAGTGATTATACAGCATGAAACCTAAAGTGTTAAGTGTGGTCGTATACAGCATGCAATAAAGAATTATAGTTTATGATTAGTTTCATTCTTTAATGATTAGTCCGAATTAAGATTTCCTAAATACAATTAATATTGGGAAATTAAAAAAAGATTTTTGTGAAGACTTTGTCAGAGGTTTATTTATTTAAAAGTATCAGTCGCGTCAGCAACATTTGCTAATGACGTTATAATCCCTGTCCCTTTGTTGAGACCGAGTCAGACCCCGCAGTTACCGGCGGGGAACTGCTAAATATCCGGGGTAGGTTTGTCATTTTGTCAACTGTGAGGTCAATAGAAGGGTAGATTCGTCATTTTTAGTGTCTACATGTGCTATTATGCTATCTACAATTCTCGCCGACACTTCCATTCGAACAACATGTTGTATGATGTGTACATTAGTAAAATTTAATGAGGACAACATAATTAAAATCGAAACTGAAAATGATATTTCCAGGCTGTCTGATGACATGGAATATAAACTTCAATTCATTTCATCCAAGTGACTAGAATATTGTTACGAGTTAAAAAATAGTAATAATTATGTGATAACTTGTAATTAACTGAGCTAATCCTTCTGTTTATTACAGTGAATGCAAATGAGTGCTTATTAACGAGAATGCAAGAGATGTCATTAGATTACCATTTCACTGTGGAGCAAGAAGTGGGTTCATCTACTCATGCATTCTTTGGGTTCAATGGTAACGTCACACTTTTTTTATAACAACGTTATTTATAGTAAATATTTTTATTGCTAAAAGTAACATAAAAAAGAACATAGCATGATTGTTATAAAGAGGTCTGATAGTGAAACTCGTTCAATTTTATAGGAACAGGAGGGGTGTGGAGAATAGCAGCAATTAATGAAGCTGGTGGATGGAAAGACAGAACAACTGTAGAGGATATGGACCTTGCAGTTAGAGCTAGTCTTAAAGGCTGGAAGTTTCTTTATCTTGGTGATCTCCAGGTGTTTGATAAAATTCCTCATAGAACCACTCTGTTTTTGCCTTATTTTACTGAAGATTTATCTTGTTACTAAACTAAATTTTGTAAGTCTAGGTGAAAAGTGAACTACCTAGTACATTCAAAGCCTTTCGTTTTCAGCAGCATCGTTGGTCGTGTGGTCCCGCCAATTTGTTCAGGAAAATGGTGATGGAGATAGTTAGGAACAAGGTATGCAATGTAGAAATGCTGTTGAGCCCCATGTTGGGTGGGATGAGTTTAATTAGTCTGCTTATATGGACTTGGGCAATCCTTTCTTTATGAGTTAACTTTTGGGGTTGAGTTAGGTCAAGATTCATTTATTACATGGTATTAGAGTTGGGCCCTAATTTTGTTTGAATAAAGATTCTGAATTGTTTCGTTTTCGTGTTTGCAGAGAGTGAACATTTGGAAGAAGTTTTACGTGATCTACAGCTTCTTCTTCGTCCGAAAGATCATAGCTCACATGGTCACATTTTTCTTTTTCTGTGTTGTTCTTCCGTTGAGCCTTTTAGTTCCTGAAGTTGAAATCCCTACATGGGGTGCCATCTACATCCCCTGCATTATCACCACATTGAATTCTGTTGGAACTCCAAGGTCTATATAATATGCCTAACAAGTTCTTTTGTTTACTTCTCAGGTGAAATTTTTCCTCCTGACGTTTTCTAATTTGATTATGTAATTTGACAGGTCAATTCATCTACTCTTCTACTGGATTCTCTTTGAGAACGTGATGGCTTTCCAACGAACCAAGGCTACATTTATCGGCTTGCTAGAAGCAAAAAGAGCTAATGAATGGGTTGTCACAGAGAAGTTAGGTGATGCTCTCAAGAACAAAGAAAAAACAAAACAAACCAAGAAACCCCGAGGATCTCTATTTGGAGACAGGTGAGAAACTCTCTTGAATGAAGCTTTATTTTCATGTTCTTGATATCATTGAACCATTAGAATATTGCATCAGTTTGTTAATCATGCATTATCGGTTGGTCTAATTGTACAGGATTCTTCCACAAGAATTGGGATTCGCAGTTTTCCTTTTCTTTTGTGGATGCTATGATGTCCTCTATGGGAAAAGCCAGTACTTCCTTTACATCTTCCTCCAAGTCATCACTTTCACAATTGCTGGATTTGGCTATATTGGCACCATCGTCCCCTCGTAATAGCAGAAACTTAAAAAAAAAAACGTCCTGTATTGACTCGTGTACACTAAAATAAATGTTTGAGTGCTTTCGTGCAACCATTTTCAGAGGATGCCAAACTCAAAATCTTTGGAGAATTTTCTTAGAGATACTGTGCTGATAAAGAGGAACGAAGATCAAAGAGATATCTGTATCAGCACAGAACACAGAAGAAGATAAAACAGATGAATTAGTGAATAGATAGATTGTATTTTTCTTCTATTGAAGCTCTTTAGTTGTGTGACATTGTAATTCTTTAGCTTGCAAGTCATTTTTCTATCTGTTCTTCTTGTTCCCTTTGCCTTTGTCTTTCAAGAGGGGACAAAAACTCAGGATATTGCGAAAAGGACGAAACTTGTAATCAAGTTTTTGTCATTGTAGTTTCATTCCTTTTCTTTTGAGGTTCATTGTATCATTAAGAATCCACATATATGCATATAACAGGAGCTAGTATTTTATATAATATGTCAGCTTCAGAAAATTACTGTTGTCTCTACTTGAAAGTATTTTCTGGTAGAAATTGAACATCTTCATAAGTTCAATCACAATTCTGTTTCACCAATATGTGATGAATGAGCCACCCTTGGCCAAAAACAGAGTTTTCCCTTAACTTTGAGGTGAAGTTTCTGCAGTTTAGCCAGCAACATCTCACATATTGGCTATTTGCCTATTACTTTGTAATTTCAAGAGCAAATTTGAACCATTTTTCTTGTAAAAAAGGCCTGATTATTATCTCTTCTTGTAAGTATATATTTCTTAGTACTCAATTTAGTCCATAGAAATTATAATTAAGAATATTTTTTGCATGTCGCTTCATTTATATTTTTTTTATTTTTGGTTAATGTGAAAAGAAAATCCTTAATTAGTTGTCTATCTTGAGGCATTTTTCAAAAGAACATAGCTAGCTAAATATGTACACTTTACACAAGGCATTATGCCCCTTCTTTATCCAGCAGATTGATGATATTATTAATAGATTGATGTGCTTTGCTTCTATAACAAGAGAGTACTGTCATCAGCACACGAGTAGAATCTTAACTTTTGCTAATAGCTTTTAATGAATAAAGAATCAAAACTTGTTATTTTAATGTAAGATTGTCCTACCACATAATAGTAAAAAAGAGAAAAGATTTTGGTATGACAACAGTTGAATCATTAGTTACTTTGAGATTTTGGAAACTTCTATAAGCAAACTCAATGTGTCATATATAGGCTGCTACTTTATTAGTGTAATTATTTTATGCTTTCGGCAGATACTTTATAGTATTGATTTTATCTAATGGGGTCACAATGAAGTTTCATTTTCTTTGCCCTTTAGCATCATATATTTGTAGTATATGCTAAAGTTTAATTAACCTATAAATTAAAAGTCTTCCAATAATTAAGCTTCATGCTCAAGAAAACCACCTTCACTAAACACAAATTTATTCTCAAAAGCGCTACACTTTTTTTTTTTCATGATGGTGGGACTTTTTGGTATTTTTGTATTTTCCATATATTTGTAATATTTTAATTAAAACTTTGGACTTGAAATAATCTATACCTTTTTGTTGTTGTTGACACACTATTTTTTGGGTGCGCATGATTTACCCCGCTTTTATGTAATAGCGCGCATCACATTGAAGACAATCACACCAGACAAGTCTTGTGTAACAAGCTCGATCGAAAAACATGCAGAGTTTTTGAATTACTGATTCTCATTTGGAGATCATCTGCTCAACCAACTATGCCATGCATCCAAAAAATTAATCATTTTAAATTGCCACATAAGCGGGTAAATTTCTCTCTCAGGTGTCCACTTAAATAAAGTTACACAGTGCAAAATGTTGCCTACATGAATTTAGTTTTTCTTAATTTAATAGTCTCATTCCAAGTTCTAATCAAAACATTGATGATGGAGACAAATATTTAGTACTAATATTCATCGAAATCCTAGGACCGTCAAATTATTGCATGTCTTGTGGTAATTTGAGACAAGGTGCTTTATCTTTTTATATGTCAGCATTATCACGTTTGAAGCAAAAGATATTAGGCCATCACAAAGATTTCATGTTCAAGGTTTGTTAATAGAAAGAATTTCGACCGAAAGCGCTTTCTTTTTTAATGTTCGTTATGTGGTGCGAGTTTAATGTATTTTTATACTGATTTAATTTCTTAATATATCTACAAGTCTTTAGAAATTGAATCACTAAACTCTAACTCAAATACTGAATATTGAATGAAACTTAAAGACTAGGACTTGATAACTATTTCACGTCTTATTTTACTTTTACTTGTAACGATGAGAAAAATAGGTGAATGAAACAAAAATTACGATACAATTTTATTTTATTTCTAAGAAATAAAAAAGGAGGATTTAAGTTTGTCGGTAGAATGATGTAGACCTAGATTAGTTTTTCTTTTTTTGGGTCTCTCTATGAGTAATGATACTCTTTTCTGTTATTTTTGCTCATTCATTATATCATATCATTTATTTATGATTTATTCTTAAGCCTTGTAGTTTATACAGGGTTTGAGCAGTTACAAGAAATATTTATAAAATATTTAATTATGAATTCAATTATTATCATATATTAATTTAAATTATTATAAAAATTTATAAATTTTAAATTCTAACCTCGACGAGGTGATCAACTTGTCGGCGCCAAACGCAATGTTTGGCATAACATGCTTACGCCTACTAAAACTCTTGTTGGGTACAAGTAACATGCATAGCCACTCGTCTGACAAGGTCAGAAACAGAAAAGTATAAGGAAACACAGCGTTTAGTTAGAAATAAGTTATTTTGAATTTAATTATTTTGGGACAAGTTATTTTACTATGTATATAAAATAACTTATTTTATTTCTATGGTATAAATTGTGGAATAAATATCTCTAACAAAATATAACATAAAATAATTCTACATTTTATCCTGAGATTATCATATCTTATACCTCATTGGGGGAAATGGCAAATCTGATCCCCACATGCTAAAGAGAGACTATATGCAAAAAATTACTTGAACAGTAAAATTGAGTAGGTGAAATTTTAAATAATTTTGTTGTATAACAAAGAAAAATCACTTGTCTTTGTCTAGATAGCACCATAATTAATAAATTTAGAAGGGGTTCCTAGATTTAGTGGATTCTTTGATGACTTCCTTTAGGTAGGTGTAGCTACAAAGGTTAAGTCACACTCACAACTCACAAGTTTATGGAGTTCTCTTTGATAACATGTTTTCTGGAGGTTCTGTCTGCTGCCTCACCCTCACCCTCACCCTCACCCTCACATTGATCATGAATGGCCACAATTCACAAAAATCCCTATCTAGAATGGTCCACCATATACATATATTTTCTTCGTTTTATTTTACTTCACTCAGGTTGATGACTTGATATTCCCTTTAGAAAAAGTACTCTCTCTGTCCATTTTTGCTTGTACAGTATTTTGTGCAACCTCTCTAAATTTTCAGTCACAAGTGCATGTGTTTGAAAATATTGTAAAATCTTGGAAAGCGATCAGCCATAACAATTTATGTTTTAGTCGAATCAAAATCGCTTTTAAGGGGTGGCATGGGCTTTGCAATAACTCAATTTCTTTTGTTACATAATTTGTTATTGATTTGAGGCCTTTTCTAAAAAATTGCACGGTCTTGATCTAAAATGAACAATATCACACCATATTAAAAATAGATGCATTTAAGTTATTTTAACCCTAACTTACAAGAAACATTGACAAATGACAAGTATAGTGAGGTGGGATCCAAGACCATAAATCACAACTCAACAAGAACACTAAAACTTTTAAGGAAGACCTAATTTGTTGGTTGAGAGGTCTCCCTCATTTTGCTGTCTTTTTTCTTCTTATTGATAATTTGCAATATTACAAGTACTAGCTAGCTAGTATGTACTTCCTTCATTTAATGTCATGATAGCTCCAATTCTCAGTGCTTTAATTAACCCCCAACCCCATCAATGCTGGCTCAAAGGGGTCACTTTTTGTTGTCTATATATACAATAGCCCCACAGAATATTCTCTTTCTAATTTTAGTTTAACATGATTTCCAAACTTTATAAACTTCCAACTGATTTACATCCATGCCTCAAGAGAACAACTTTCTTGGCCAGGCTGACTTATAACCTTTTTTTTTTACACACCATCATGTTACAACATATAACTCTCCTTAACAAATTAAATATAGTGTATGAATATGAAATTAAATAAATTATTGAAGATATTATATGGATATAAAGACTCATTTCTAGCCACGTATTAATCGATTTGTACTTGATGCATCAACCTTCACTACACCAAAAATGATCTTCAGCGACAATTAACACTCTTTGATTTGTAAATATCACTAAGATTTTTAGCGACATTGGATCCAGAGTCAATTAACTATTGTCGGTAAAAATTTTAGCATTCAAGTTTAATCTTGTAAGTTAGCAACGTAGTGTATCAAGTGGGCCTTAATCCAATTTGTGACATTATTTGGGCTACACTTGTTTGGTAGTCTCAGGCCTTTGTGCATATTCATTCTACGGTTTAATTTAGAGTGAAATCCCAAATAATCCTGGGATTGTTTTCCCTATGCTCTTTTGGCATGGAATGCTAAGAAAGGAATTATTTACACTTTCTCTTTCTCCAAAAACATAATCAGTAATAATAGAAGTAGAGAGGTATTTCTCTTCACCCTTTTTCTCAACATGATATAAAGTTTTCTGATCTAAACTTTATAGACAAAATCTAATGCAATTTCAGGCTCATATATCACTGCTACGCTTAAAAAATTGTCGATTCACTATAGTTAGAAAATTCCACAAAATCAGACCTCAAATAAAAAATTTGATCAAAATTTGTTGAAATAGTCATTGTGAGAGGTACGGTAAAAATTGGTGTCATAAAATAGTCATAGTGAAACATTGACACAATGAAAACTTATAAGCTATGGTATGTGGACAAAGTTGATTCCTTACATGTCATGGTTATTGAAATAAATAAGACCTTTAACATGTATGTACAATTTAATTATTGTTGTGAGCAGAGGCGGATCCATATGTTAGGGTGGGGGTGCACGTGCATCCGTTAACTTCAGAAAAATTATGTGTATATATGTATATCTATCTTGAGAAATTGGCAGAAATTAGTATATAATTAATAGTGCACCCATGAGAAGCATAAAAGTGTCTTTGTGTTGTTGGTACAAGCTAGATGTTTCACCCACGAGATCACGATTTGAATCCAACTAGAGCCTTTTTTATTAGTTTTATTAAAGTTTATCTTAGATATCATATTTGGTGCACTCGAAGTCTTCAAATTCAAGGTTCGCCTTTGATTGTGAGAGTTCATGATGTATTTGAGTGATTAGATGACTATATTAAACGGTTTACCTTTTGGTTTTATATTTGTTGATGGTGAGATACGTTGTTCTATATGCTGAAGTTTAGTCTGCTTGTTGTTGGTTTATGTGTTGTTTGTTTT